GGTGATTATCGTGTGATAATCTGAGTTTCTCGACCAATCAGCTCGCGAGATTTTCAATAATCACCTGTGTATCTATACTAATAATTGATAAAGCGTATTGAACGCATCACATCAATGTAAATAAATAGCTAATATATAAATAGATATAAAATAGTATAAATCTTATAAAATAAATTAATAAAATAATACTTCTACTTTATTGAATTTATTTTATTTATTAGGTTGCTTGCGAAGTAATCTTCAGATGTATTACATTCATATTTAAATAATGTCAGTACAGAAAATAATTTACGAAAGCACGAAGTTTGCGAAAATTTCATAGTGATTTTTCGCTGATAGTGAATTCACATCTCCTTTAGTGCATTTCGGGCTTGGTCGGCAGCATGCAACATAACAAAAAATTCACCAACCTTTTCTGAAATACCTGTTTATATTGTTTTCAAGTCACAAATAACCCTTAATTGCAATTTTAACATTCCACCTTACTTCCCTTCGAACATGATGGGCCGGTTTGAATGTTTAAACATGTGAACCATTARAACCGCAGCCCGTATTGTTCAAGTCAATAGCCCATACGCTATTCTCATAATGGCTGACAAGCGCACGAAAACTAGGTAACTTGGTCATTAGTTCGCAATAAAAGATGCAAATGAAATGCGTTTATAGAAAAAAGTAAAGAAATTGCCCTTTTGTTTTGACCTGAATTCGYRMTATCCACCTTTAYTTTGAATGAGCWGCCTTGCTMAGCCTTKCAAGATGACTGGGTGACCTCATCTTTATGCGCCTGTCAGCCATTATGAGAACGGTGTATATAAATAGCCGACTTTGTTGACTCATAGCCCATTCGGGCTCGAGACTAATTCAGTGCTAAGTAGACAGAATACGCTAAGCACTAAGTTCTCTTTAATGGACTTCCTATTCTTATTAACATCTTATTTGATAAAGTCCTTCATCTTGCCATTGTTGCCTATCATCTTAGGTTGTTAGCAAAAAACTAAATTAGATGATGACTGATGACTGTCCGCCATAAAATCAAATTCACCAAATTAAAAATACATGACGTCTCGCTTTGTCGCTGGTGGCAATATTTAGTACTATCATGTATTCAAATCCTTAAAACGGACCCTTTAGAAATTGATATTTAATATTTTCAATACAATGACTGCCACTTTTTAACACACTTTTTAACTTCCCCCTCGAAATATCTTCAAAATAACCATAAAAATGAAAACATCTTCCAAAAGAGACGACTCGAAAAAATCAAATTTGAGTTGATTTACAAGTATTCATATTATTATAATTACGTTTCCATAAGTCAAATTTAAATTTCTCTATCCAATTTAGCTCGTACGGTTAAAATATAAACATTTTAGCTGTATTTATCGATATAAAGAGCTTGAGTTCAAACATTTGGGCTAATCTTCGCAGCAGTAGTATAGTAAGTAAGGTTACTATAATTTTCTTTCATTTTTTCGCTCGTCATGTCTCTAGTCTTAATCTTTTGTCGGAATTCAACGGCCAAGAAGGTCTGCTTTGTCATATTTTTATGTATAGATAACACGATAAAGATAAAAAAAGATGCAAAATTCATTGCTTAGTTGAAAATAATAAAACGAACGCTATAAGTGACGATACAAAATAGAAACAGAAGGCTCTAAAAAATATAATCCCTCATTCTGCAATTACCCTTGACAATAACGTTTTTGATTCTTCTTTATTTACCTAAATTCTATTGAAAAATAATCCCTCTAACCGCTAAAGACAGGGCTTTAGAGATTAAATATGCTACTAAAAAAGCAAATTATCACCTTATTAGCCCTAAAATCAGCTTAATAAAGTAAAAAAATGAAGCAGTTTGGATCCCAAAAGGATACAAATTACATCCAACCGAGAAATCTTCCTGGGAGGCACTCAAATTTCATGTAAGCGTTTTATTGCCAATCAAGTTTGATTACAGTTTCTTGATCAAAACAGGAATGAAAATAGTTTATTCGAACGTCATGGCTTTGTTCTTACCTTAAATTAAAGGATAAAGGTGGTAAGAAAGGTAGAAACCGTTGTCATATTAAGTAACAAGTTACTAGTAGAGCTAACTAGTCAATAAGTGCATCAACTTACCAAGAAAATGAAATGGAAATCCACAAATTCGATAAAATGAAGTCCTTTAGTGCAAAGAAGCAGACTTTTGAGGTCGTTATTCCATCTGAGTCTTATTAGTCCTAAGTTTTATCAAGATGTTATTTTCTTATAAAGTTTTTAACTCATAAGTTTTTCCAGTCGGAATAGTTTGAATGAGTGTGAGAGCCAAGTTTCCTCGCAGCAAGATTCCTGCACTTGCGAAGTCTTTACACCGATCCCTAGAAATATGGATAGTTTCCAAGCCACAAAATGCAAATGAAAATTAACCCTAATAACTACACCGCAAGTAGTTATTAGTAAAAATGCTACAACTTCTCGGTATTGGCTTAGAATTTGGTCGTTTTGACATCTAGTTAAAGCACGGTTTAATAAACAACACAAAAACAACGGCTTCCGAAAACAGTCACCGAAACTCACCACACTGATACTTTAACTCAAAGAGCCGAGAAGTTTGTCCTAGCGATATTTATGCGTACCTACAGAGTTTTTGTTTAAACTGTCAAAATCATAAAAAAAGCTTAAGAATCATTGGCTGGGTTTGGATAAAATGGTATTTACAAAAGTGTAGCGGTGAAGACGATGGATTGTGGTATCCCACCACGACTAATGACGACCAACTAGATTCTTTTCTAGTTTGGGAGGTTTTCAAAATCCCGTTTAGTAACGGCTGGATATCTGTTTTTCGACGTTAATTAGAAGACTTTCATCATTATTTGAAATAATTTGAACGATAAAACTGGAATAGCGTTCGAATAATTCGCCGAGTAAGATCGTGACAAAAACTCAAAGAGACGGACTGAATATCGAAGTTTAGACAAACAGAAAAAATATGATTAATGAATCAAGGAAAATATTCAAAAACTATTTTCTGTAATCAAAATCTTTAAGTCATAAGCAAAGAAATTTAAATATAAGGCAACAAATGAATGACAAGAAGATAATTCGTTGTTTTAGGGAATCATTTAGGGGACACTACCTTATGCAAAATTGATTAAACTTTTGGCAATAATCCTAGTTTTTGTAAACATAGGGGAAAAGTGGTTACTATTTATCTAAAAATAGACAAAATATGTCAAAATCGTAGTACAAAGATAGAAGCCTAGCCATAAAACATGCTAGTTTAGGAGCATTCAGCTATGGGGGGTAACTGATAGATGGAGGCTTTTACACTTTGCAAGTTTCAGGATTTTTAACTTGCATTTTTTTTACCTCAGATTTACGTTTCTTTCCGCTGCGTTTCTTGATTACAGACTCGACAATTACTCAAGGTTAGCTCCGATGTATTTCAGAAGCAAAATATTCAGTTACTAACGGTAGAGTGCATACCATATTGAAAAACTTTGTAAGAAATTGCACAAATTTGCTGACAAATTAGTAAGTTCAGTAGACTGTAGACCTGTTGGTTAACTTTTTCTCGGATATATGGTATGTACTCTAATACTAAAACAATGCACAACTTCAAAAACATTAACACTTTGAAATTCTACGGACCTTCAATGAAATACATGGATATTCGACACAAAAGCTCCTGAGTGGCAACAGAAGTGGAGTATTATAAAAAAAATCTTATCTTACTAGAAGTGTCTTCATTTGGTATCTGCTTGAATTTGATCGAATCGTTTGTTGTCGGATACATTTGAGAAGCGACTGGATCAAGCAAAAAGTAAAAAAATATTTCCCAATGCAGCTTTTTAGTGCAATAAAACGTCGATGGACAGGTTCGAGTAATACTTCAGATTTGGCTTCAATTTTGAACGATTTTTAATACCATTGTACAGCATCTTTGTAAATCAATCATTACTGAAGGATTTATGTGTCAAATAAAGTTTATTATTACTATTGATTTACTTATCAATAGACAAAATCTGGTGACAGAGATCGTGTCGTTAGGGCTATACTGAGACGAATTGTCCTGGCTCACTACTTTTATCACAAAGATTGTCTAATAAATCGTGTTTTACGTGGCCTGGGGTTATATTACTGATAGCAGACTGAAACTCATCAAGTTGAATATCAATGGCTGAGTTTTCAGGATATGGATTCAGGAAAACGATGTAGTCACGAAATTGCTAATTGAAAGGAAATGGTCAAGGCTGAGGAAGCGTTTGTTGCACGAACAGAGAAAGAGAGAGAAAGAAAGAGAAAGAGAGAGAAAGAGAGAGAAATAGAGAAATAGAGAAAGAGAGATAGAAAGAAAGAGAGAAATAGAGAAATAAATAATGATGAATGTTGTTATGAACTAATTACGTTGAAAAGACACC